GGCGAAGCGGCTGGACCACTCCGTACCTATAATTAATGACTATAAAGTGGATGCAGTAAAGTCTCAACTCCGTCCAATTCTTCAGACTTTGCCTTGGGTTATTTGGCTGTGTGGCTGTGTTGAGTGTGTTTTTGGCAAGATTTGAATCAAATTTATACTCGTGAAGCTTCAACAAACGTTTTTCGTTCCCTTAAACATTTCATTCTGCAGCGGATATGGACAAAGTATATATCACTAGACGCGGAAGACGTAGATCTTTCAAATGATGTGAAAATCACATGCGATTCACGCGAAGAACCGACATATCTATCCAAACGATGGAAATTTTCTTTCCAGCCTAATAGAAAAGTCGGCGGTGATGTCATGAAGCCCTGGAGTTGTGCCATTCTTCATGCCTTCTATCACAACACGCACTACGGAAGGTAAGATTCTGAGTGGTTTTTTCTCCAGTAAGGATTTCCGTTCCCGGAATGGGGACTGTTGAACGAAAAAGGTTGGTGCAAAATTTTTCCGTTATCAATTTCATGTCATACAGGACGTTCTAGCATTCCCATCGTCATTTATCAGGGCTGCGAGAGGAACACCCTTTGCACAAGTTCCGACGATATTTCTTTAAATTAGATCATTTTTATACTGCTTCCAACAATTTTTCTGCCTGCGAAAGAGAAGATCCTCCTGGAGAGCTGCTCTGCAGCTACAACTGATTATCACTCAAGCTATGTGTGTTGCGTTGGGATCAAGCCTCAACTTTCTTCTCTTTTCGAGCAACTCCTTAGGGCCAATGAAGTGAGTTCTGAACTCCTTACTGGAATAATTGAAGAGGAGCCAGCACAACTTTTGAGTCCTTTAACAAGCAGCTTGCAATCTTCGGTCGGATTTTCCTTTATCTGCCAGTCATGAATTGATAGGATTTCGTTTAGAATGTCTTCGCAGCAAAAAGCTTGATAATTTTCCTCCCCATCGTAGACATGACTTCTTGTCCAGTCCACAGTGTACGACTGAATCGAATCTTCGCGCGAAGAAGGCGGTGTTTGCAGCCAGTACAGAATGATGGACTACGGATGTGTCAAACAGGCACTATTATCTGTTTGTGAGTATGTGGCTGATCTCCGCATGTGTCGTGCTATTAGGTGATTCTTATGCCCAGGAGCAGTGTTCTTCCTTCTAAAAATGTGAAATTTCGTGGAAGATACGTGCTGCAGACAGGAATTCCGCAAGAAGGTTCTAGTTCTGATTTTTTCACGTAGTCCAAATTTCCCAACCATATATTCGCTGTCGTTCTCTCTCCCTATTCTAGGCATTGAAGTCACCGGCAATGAATTCCTGACATGACTTATTACTGCAGATAACTTTCTCCAGCTGATGATAAAATGCAGTTCGCGTTTATCAAATGAGTCGGTCGGCGAGTAGCAGTTCATTATACTGATGCTTCTGCTACGATTTAGCTAGAATAGCAGGATGGTCAAGCGAGGAAAAGGATTTCTTGAGAATTGACGAAACGGGTTATGGACGGATGATCGACAAGGCCTACGCCGCCGACATTCGTGACGGGAATTTTGCTCCTCGAATTACTAGCTCCCGTTGTTGAGTTGGCGTATGTCGATCTTCCTAATTTCCATTTCTTGCGCGGCATCACATGAAATTTTATGCGGTGTGCTGCCTCAAGAAATGCTTGAGGATGGGCGTCAGTGGAGAGCGTTCTTGCGTTGTGAGTGGTTCAACAGATCCGGTTCCAGAGACATCCTGTGTATTGCGTGATTTTGTAGCCTCTCACTGCTCGTCTTCACCTCCTGACACCATAGACGAGCGAATCTAATGTGCTGGGTACTGAGGCTAGTCTATTGCTGGATGTGCAGATTATTTTTCTTGGATTCCCGACTTTCCTTGCAAGGGCTATTTCAGGTCTTCACGAAGTTGATCTCAATCAACTAGCCTTTGGAGGCGGATCCTTGGTCGGACTTCCTATCAAGTGACTCGAAGATGGTGTTAAACCCGATCTCAAAGAATAAAAGTAGGAATGAAAAATTTAATTGACCGTTCACTGACGATGTAGAAGCCAAAAGTTCATCCAGAGGTAATTAAAATTTCACAATTGTGATATCGTTCAACTGCTCATTTTCTTACAAATGTTTGGTATACAACTTACCTATACTTGTATTAAGATGGAGCTGCCGTGTGAAGAAAACTCGCTCGCCTCTGTACACGAATAACGCGTGAAGGAAAATGCTGAGGCAGAGGAAAGTGTTAACAGGTTGATAACGATCTGGCTGTTATTAGCTCAGAGAGTACGCCATGTCTGCAGCGACGCGGCGTAGCTGTAGTCTTCATTATCACGCCGTGTTATGGAAATATGGAAATTTCTTTTGTAATCTGAGGTACTGAGGTAGATATGCAGTGCTTCAGTTGTTTTTCAAACAATTTTCGATATCGAATAAGTTTGTCAATATCAGCATTATGAGGAAATATGTGTAAGTAATTATGTTTGGACTTATTCAGATATCCCCAACCACGTACTGACACTATCGCCAATTGAAGAGCGCTTTGCACGGATGTGATGTTGAGTTGATCCGTCGACATCGTTGCGTAGAATGCAATCTTCTTTCCTCTGTAGAATTTCTAATTTGTGCTCAGAATATGAATGGTTTGCATAATCTGGAAAAATTATGAGTATAAGATTTCAACATTCGTCAAGAAAAACTGCGATTTCTTTTCAAAGACAGTGTGTTTCTCACTGTTAGATAACTGATTCTGTTGGCAAATTGCAGTCAAGAGGTGACACCGTGGCAGGAAATTTTCGAAAGAGGCAGGAGGCGTATTCACTTTTGGATCAAACTGGGGATAGATATGACGCAGTACGTAAGCTAGAGGTTTGACAAAATCGTCTGAAAGACGAGAAAGAGAGAGGACAATCATTTCATGCTGCAGGAGTTAGGGAAGATAGCTCTCCAACACCTAGGAAGTGCGCAGAAATAGTGACATCATAATGACATATACAGGTTTGCATCAATTAGGCAATTAGATTATTTCTATTAGTACATTTTTAGTGTAGTATGTAAGTATTTGCACTTTTTGTAAGCATTTTTAATAGAATTAGATACTGTTTTGCATAGTCCCACTTTTTCGTGTAATAAAAATGCGCAGTGTTCTACAGTGTCTAGTGATATGCGGAACTCTGAACCTCACGCAGAAGCTGGACAACTGTACCATCAATTCGGGAAGCGCTTTTCAGCCAATGCACTACCGCGCTTCCGTTTTGCTTTTTCCCTGTGATACCATATACTGAAACTGCCACAAGTTGTCATAGGCTTTGGTCTAGTAAGCACATATTGGTCTGACATATGCTGGATATCACTGGCAGTGCTATGAAGCTCGAAATATTCAAGAATGGTGAGTGATATGCAAGACTGTAAGCCTCGCGCGGGTATTTGCCCGCGCTTTGATCTCTCCGCGAACGCATGTTAACCACTTCACTATCAGGCTCCTTTTTTTCTACCAGTTTTTTAGCGATACCTTGTATCGCTGTTGTCAGCAACCAATTGTCAACGGATTTTGTTTGGTAAGCACAAATCGACAATGAAACTAATCTAGCTGAAGGCTGTCGGATGCATATAATCTTTGAAAACCTCAGGAACTATCTAAATAGTAGTGCAAGGTGTTCCAGATTGAATCAAAGTTTTGATGTGCAAAACTTTGAACCTTACACGAGAGTGAGTCTAATCCGCCTCCCACCCTTTCCGAGGGTACGTGTTAACCGCGGCACTACTGGAGCTCCTGTTCTTCCATCGCTCTTCTGCGGTACATAGATGCATGTCCTAGAGTAGACACGAAAGGTCAACTATTGTCGGATGTCTCGATAGCTACCGCTTACAACAAATCTATCACTAAGGAATTGGAGGAGTCGACATATTGCTATTTCACAACAACTTCTCATTCAACTTTCCACCGAGATCTAATAGGAAGAGATATCGATTGATGGAAGATGCTCAGAAACGGGTTAATGCTAGTGAGGCTGATGAAAAGTGCATGGATAAGGAGATGGCGACTCTATTAGAAGCAAGTCAGTTTTACTATTTTGCACATGTTACAGTTTCTAATGTGATCACACTAAGATTTCCTCTAATCGACTCTTCAATATCGGTCTTTCTCAGCGCTTCAAAAGTAGTTGGAAATTAGTCAGTCTTGAGACAGACAGAATAAGGCATTAAAATTGCATCGATATCTTCTTCAAAGCAAATTTGTGCGTTGTAAATATGACATTGGGTGCGTGTGGCGCAGAAGTCAGAGATACCATATGATACACAAGAACTCGACGGTCCGATCTTAATCCTAAGGTTATCAAGCCTTCCATCGTTCACGAATTGGCAAATTGGAACCAGCTTTGTCTGAGAGAATAGCAGCACGACTTGGTATATCGTTGAGCCACTGCGAGTCATTGTAAAGGCCATATGTGCATTCGGTTACCTAAACTGATTTTTGAAGAAGTCGAATGCATTACGTATTGTCCAAGAATTGAGCAAAGCTTACTTTAGAACATTTCAACAACAAGTATCAGATTTTGGAAGTCATCCCTCAAAAATGCTCTTACCTCAATTTAATTTCGGATGGAAATTTCAGAAACTGATGGTGAATCATTTGACGATGATACTGTGAAAGTCAGAATTCATTTTATTTGACCTTCACTTGCGGTGTTATAACGTTGCAATATACTCAATAGTGTAGAGTGGTGTGCAAAAGCATTTGAGCCAGCTGGGATTCGAACAGAGATCTCACTTTTTCCGAGAGCGAGTGCTGAACCGTTGCACCACCGACGCCCGTTTCGACACACTACTCTTTCTATGCTGCCATGGCCAAATAAACTGAATGCTGATTGATTATTGATACTCAATATCTATTAACATAAGCGGGTTCAGTGTCGATAGCGGCTGCCCACGTCAGACCGTAGGCTGTTGGCTGTTGACAGATAACGCAGTGTAGCGTAGAAAGAGTAGTGTGAGAAACGGGCGCCGGTAGTGCAATGGTTCAGCACACGCACCCAGATATGGTGTAACCTGGCTTCGAATCCCAGCTGACGCACACTTTTTTTCGCCCGTTTTCGCACACCACTCTACACTATCGTGAAGATGATTATTTTAGACGCCGAATAAAGCATTGACGATGTAGCTTGTGGTCAGACTTCCAATGCACATCGACGTCATCAAATATCCACTCAGCACCGTCATATAAACACTCTTCTTTTAAGAAAACATGGGCCTTTGACAGGATATTCCGGAGATAGAGTCATCGGAAGCCGCTACTGACCGCCCTCAGCCTCTCAATGGACCGCTAATCCAATTCAGGATCCTTGCCTTCTGAGTTTATATACCGTTGACTTTTCTCCTTATACATCCTTTGCTTTTGTTTTTGACCTTGTATTCATCCTTTACTGATTGCTCTTCGTAATGGATTTTTTCTGATAAATTTGTTCTTTGAAATATGCAAACGTAGTGAAAAATGAATGAGCACTTTGTGTGAAAATTACATAACCTGTGTTTGACCATGACTTCATCACTTTGTTTCCTGCTACTCATTCCGACCTCATTCTCAAATTAATCACTTGGTCATTGCCCTTCGTATTCACTTTATTCACCACACTTTCTCCAATCAAATCAGTTATTTTACCTTTACCTGCCAGAAGACCGTTTCAAAAATTATCCTTTTTTTGAGATTATAGCACCACAAAATGTTACATATCTTTGAAATGTAAATATTTCTTTGGCAACTATGATGCCATTCCAAAGCGTTTCTTGTGATAATTTGGTGCTTAACACCTCGTTCTTGCTCTAGGACTTTCTCAGATAATTCTTCTTGTCACAGTTTCTATCATTTTACATAATTATATGGGACACCGTTAGACTATTAATCGTACATGATTAATGTATCAAATTGCCACTTTTTCTTTGAATGTGAAGAATTGTGAAATGTCATAGAGATTCTTCTGATTACAGAAACAAATAAGAAAACTGATCTCATTCGCTGCATAAAAGCTTTTCATGGGAATGTTTGTATCACTGGATTTCTAGCCAAAGCGGCCGTGGATTCTAGCCAAAGCTCACGTCGCTGATTTTTCGAAACACCTCTTTATAACGCTGTAAGATTCGAAGAAAAATCATGTTCACAAAACCACGTGCTTTTTCTCTTATCTAGCTTATATTTCGCTGTATAAAAGACCTTCACTGAAACCACTAGTACTCAAACTATAGCACAAGCTTTAAAGAACACAAAAATGTGCTTCATTCTCGAAAAGCATTTTGATCTTCTGATCTCCTTTGGTCCTTTGATTGTCTATGGCATCGACTGTTTTCAAATCCTCGCAGTAAACATTCAAAATAATTAAAAGAAGAATGTTAAAATATAAGCGAGGCTGGTGCGCTATGATCATACACGCGTGTTTCGGAGGCTTCGCCTGACCCACGCTCCACATCCACTCCTTGCTACAATGCAGAGCTTAATATGTGACGTGGGTCACTGACGAGGAGTGCGAGACCTCCGAAACACCGGTGTATGACCTTGGCGGACCAAACTCGAGCAAGGCCTCAAACATCCTTGTAAATTAGATTGAATGTTCATTGAGAGATTTTGAAAACAGGATGCCATGGATCAATTTTGTTGTACCAGTAGCGATCCATTGACTGACAAGTGGTGATGGCACACTGTCATTGTATACAGTGCCGTCACCACATACGCCTCCCTCCTTGCTACAGTGCATTGCTTAATGTGGGACGTGGGTCACTGACGAGGAGGGCATGGCCTCCGAAACACCGAAGTATGACTCTGGCGTACCAACCTTTTGATTTGTGCTTTGAACCTCGCCGAGCAGAGCTCTTCCCTCAGACTAATACTAATCATCTGATAACAGTAATGTGTTCTGATTCTAGCGATGTGTTTATTTTCTGGAAATTCGGCTGAGAAGAGAAACTGAGACCGAGTCTACTTTTTCGGAGGTTGTTTACTGAATATTCGACAAGGCGACGGCCATGGAAGGGAAGCGAAAGCGGTACGATTGATATAAAGCTGAATCACAGGCAACTATTTATAAATTCTGATAAAACCAACATGGACGAAAAAGTAAAGATAAATCAGATTTTTCTCAAGGATTGATAGGATTTTAAGTAGTGCAAGGCGCGCGACTCAAACCGATTACCCCATGGCCCTTCGCAGAGGTGAAGAGCATCTACTGATGCAAAGAGTTAATCCAGAGCAATAGGACACCGCAATCTGATCCTGTCGAAAATACGTCGTTGCAGCAGCATCTGGATCCTGTTAATCCTTCAAAGACTATGAGAGTCATTTTGATGTTCACTACCCGACGTCAGTCTCACCCAGCTACTGTATAGGTGGCGTCGCGTCTCGTGAGAAAGCAGGAGGACAGTCGGAGAAGCATGCACAGACATGCAGATGCCGCCGCCTGGACTGCCGTCCATGCAACGGCGCCACGCCTTCAATATATCAACGTCGGTCCTCAAAGGGTCAAGTAGAAGGCTTGCATTAAAATAAGTAAAGCTTCCAGTCAATGAAAAGTTGAAAGCTCTCGGCGTTATTCGATTCTTGAGGTATGTGCCGTGCATTCGCCCTAAATTGCAGTCTCGCTTAATATGATAAAATGCCTATGTGGCTTTTCCAATGTCTTGCGATGTCCTACCGAAGCATCAAGTTAATGCTGCTATCTTCCCACACATCTCTGGTACCAATTCAAAGCCACGGCGGGATGGAAGTCTTGGGACTTAAGTTTGGGATCGAACCATCGATTTATCGACGTGTGTGCCGTAGAACACATCAAACCACTAGCCACGCGCAAGTTACCAGTAATGTCGGAAAATCGGACGTGACAGATTCATCGTGCATTTTGAGAATGAGCAGAATAGGGTCTCAAGTATAGTGTATGGCTTGCCCAACGTTCAGCACTAAAAGTAGATAATAGTAGATAATTCGTCTGCAAATGTGTCACAGGATGGAAAGAAAAGGAAGAAGCCCATTACATATCAGCAAAACTTCGAATGAAATAGCATACGAGAACGGATAAAGCTCTTGGCGTTGATCAATCCCTGAGGGATGGACCGTGCATTTATCTTCAATTTATGACTTCGTTGATTGAATGCACATTTGCCCTTTGCAATGACTCGCGGTGGCCTCCCGTGTATTGAGTTGAGTCAGTGCTGCTTATTCTCCCTAACAAGTCCGAGGCCCGTCTGGTACTAATTTATCGACCCTGAAGGGATGGATGGCTTGGTGAGCCATCATTGCGAGACCGAACCATCAACTTTCAGTTTGACGCAGAGCACCTCTAACAACCGTGCCACATGCGCTCCAGACGAGGATGTAAGGGATCGAAATGTCGTTACGGAAGAGTCACCGTTCAAACAATCTCCCACTTCAAGTCGAACAAAGAACTACAATCAGATCTATAGGTATACTTTTAGCGAAAGGTAAAAGAGATTAAAATGTGCGGCAGTGAGAAGGCTGCAATCAAATTTTAACACTGAGATTAGACCTTTCCTTTATTCATGCGTCTAAGGATTTGAAGTAAAATATCTTTTGACTTCCCATCAGATTTGATGAGAATTCATGAAGTACAACAACCATAACTATATCTTCAACAAAGAAATGCCGACACAAGACTTTATGCAGATTTTCAAACGTCGAAGAAGACGTAATCATCAAATTAGTCATGAACATAACTGTGAAGAGACTCCAATTAGAAGAGCGACATTTAAGATCGAATAGGTGAAGGACTGACAAGAATGGTAGAGCGTGGAAACACCGTCAACAATGTTGACAAAAACCTGCGATGATTCAGTAGAGGGGATCAATTAGAAAAGAACAGTTTCAACTAAAAACGCAAGCGTGATACCTCTGCCATCGATGAGGAAGACGGTCTGTGACGGCGTATAGACAAAACGTTAATCAATGTGATATTAATGCGATACATAGTGAACTACTAAAAGGAGGTGTCTGACTTTCCAGATTTCATATTCAAGAGTAATGAGTGGCATGCAAAACGGTGATGTAGTGGTAGCTTGCCCCCTTCCTCCCGGTGTGGGTGAAACGTGGGTTCAACTCCCGCCTGATGCCAGATGTTTTGTATAACACTCAATAGGCTTAAGTATGTATTCATAGCATCAAATGACTTCTGAAAGACAGTAAAAATTTTGGAAAAAAATCTTCAGTCGTAAGAACTGTGTAATTCACGAACTTGGAAAATCAAAGCCGTCTACATCACAGTGTGCTTTCTTTATTAGAGCTTTACCATATTCGTAAAAATAAACAAACGAGCCTATCTAGAGTTTCAAGCCTAGCTATAATTCCAGGAATAATCCCGTCATCCGATTCCTGTAATAAAATAGTAGTTGATCATTGTCCGAATTCTCGTGTCGATAATAGAAATAGGTTCCTCTAAAAAAACCTGCCCCCATAGAAGATTTTGAGCTGCTTTCTCGATAACGCCACAGTTTATCAGCTGGACCTCGGTTCACTGGTGTAAGGAGGTCTTCAGTTACAGCCTGGCTGTAGGTCAACGTGTCAAGGATGTGACTTTGGTACAGTTTTCTGCATTAGCAGGAAACTCTAAAAGCACCTCAAAATGGCACAAATGCAACATTAAATGAGAGCAGAAGCAAAAGCAAATGTAGCCAGCTGTAACCGGTAAGATATCCAATTATGGAAAAGAAGCAGACAACCGAAGATAGCCTACTGCTTCTAGCACATGTCGGATAAGACAGTAGCAGCTGTTCAACTGTAAGGCGCCTTAGCTCTGTTACATTCTCAAATAGTTCTTTCTTTGTCTTTAACAGAGATGTGAAACCTGTTTATGCGCTTTAGTAGACTTCTGAAACAATTTCATATCAGAATTCACAGCCCAAAAGTGAAAGATCATTGGTCATGAAAAATAAGTACATATGAAACAGTGAGGCCATCTGTATCCATTGTTCCGACTTCGAATTGGTTGCTTTCTTCGAATTGGTCTCATATACGTTGCGCCATCCGTCGCCTTCAAAGCGCTAAGCTCCTAAGATGGTTGGAGCACCCGGAGCGTAGTATGAACACTGATCATCTTTTTAGGTACTGAAAATAAAAAGCTAGAGATAAGATTAAAATTATGTAAAAATAGTAAGTCACTACTTGGTTAACACCTGGTTCATTTGTCCTCTCTTGAGTCTTCTCGGTTATTCGACTTTTTTTTCTCAAAATTGGTTTCGTTTCGTACTGCCAAATAAACCTCTTTGGGGCATTAACCAAAAGCTAGGAGTTCGAAGTGTAATCTCTTTCCATCTCCCAGCGTTCTATGACGATATTTTCGGAAACCAAACTTAACTCCGACCTAACCAGCTGTACCAAACTTTTTCTAATAACGATAACGCTCAAACTCCTTTGAACATTCGTATCATTCCACAATTATCACAGTTTAAAACGGTATTTAGGCAAGAACGTAACACCTAGAAACTATTCATAAACTTGCTCTCCTTGCGTGCGGGCGACTTGCAATAACTCGGCCATACTCATCTAATTTCGCTTAATTGAGGTGAGCTAGAGTGGGCTCTTGTTTTCAACTTACGAAACATATTGTTTACCCAGTGATCTCAATTATATGCTACAAGAACATCGATTCATTACAGGGAGCGCAAGAAGGCAACACTTAATCATTTCATCAGGTCGTTTTGAACAAGTAAGTTCTCTGCTCTCCTTCGATGAAGGTAAATCCGTCTGAGTGCGAATAAAGAGCAGATGTCATAAAAATGTATGGTGAAGATTGCGCACTCAGAATACGATCTGCTGCAAACTCATTGATGTATAGGCGAATTCTGATAGTGCCTATGGTTCACAAAAGTTATAGCTCAGCCGATTTACGTGGGATATCCAATAGTCATCGTATCGTTTGAGCCCGAGTCTGCAACATCTCCAGAAATTAGTTACAGCCAAAGCTATTCGCTGAGTTTTGTCCACGGAACGACAAGAACTTTTTGGCCTGCGTTGCTTGATTTGATTATTTTTGGTGGAGAGTACTACTGAATTATTTGAGAGCTCATCCGCGGAGCTCAAAAAACCTACATCTGGCTTGCTCACTTCTCTCAAGATACGAATGAGGTTTGCTCTTTCATTACAACTTGGAATTTCGCCTTTTGTGTAACTTCCTATTGTCTGGTCATAGGCATTTTAGTCGAGCTGACGTGCAATATAAACTCTCGTATGCATACATATTCACAAATGCACGAATATATTTTACACAATTATGATAAGTAATAAAACCTTTTGCTTTTAGGGGTGACTGATTGCATCTCTGGGTGATAAAATGATTTGCGGTGATCTTCGATGTAACACAGTAGTTTTGCTATCTTTCCAAAGATGTATGTTACCAATTTCCTATCTCGGTGAAGTGAGAGACATGGTGAGTCACTGGAATTGGATTAGACCTGCGACCACCTGTGTATCGTGAAGCTCCTTCTGATTATTCTGTTACGCTCAACTGTAGTTATGTGCGTATCCAAAAATGTAAATAAATCCAGCTCTACAGCAGCAAGAACTAGTTCTCAAAATGAATTCGTGTAGTGAGCCTGGCACAAATGCTCATTCGTGTTCTCAGTACTTAACCCACAACACCTCACACGACCCTATATTGAACGTGGATACTGTAATTATGTCCCCTCAAAGCCATTTTTGAAGCTCTTCAAGCTCTTTCTAAAATTTTTTCCCTTTTGAGGGCCAAAGAATAGCATGACAATAACAAGAAATTAGTTGAAAGCGTCGAGATTATTGATCTCGCCAGATCAACAGTAATGCCACTGCGCCGTTGTGGTTTGTGGGACCTTATGTGTTTATGAACTTTACGTGGAGATCAACTGTGTTGACGACTAGGTGCGTGACTATCGTCCGGGACGAATTCTACTTCAGAAAAACTAGGGCTGGCTTACTTTAGAAGAAAAAATGTTAATTTTATGAGAATGTTGCAACATTAGGAGGTTTCCTGCTGAGTGCTAATGAAACATTGGTGAAAATGATACGTCACATGTTTAGAAATTTGAATTTAATTGCGCATAGAATTGGCAATGCGCCCTTCAAATGTTGACACATCAGAAGAGCGAGCGATCCTTCTAATACGAATACTTCATAGAGTTAATGAGCAGGTAAAGAGTTAGTTTTTTTTTCCAATGATTCCCATAGTAACATTCACGAAATAACCGATTTCATGGGTTTTTCTCTAGAGTGCAGTACAAGGAACATTTCTCATGTTTATAGCATCATCATTGAAGGTTGACTAGGTCTAGATTTTGTATTGATTAGGAAATCTAAAATAGCCTTCCTTATAATATCAGTGTTCTTGATGACAAAGATCCTAGTCTGCTGTGTCGATGCCAATCCTTGGAACTAACATCGGCTTAATTGTGCACGACTCGAGTGAACAAGTTGTCGATTACGGAGTAGAAATGATTAAAATGGCTGTTCCTTCGTTCTGTGTACATGACCGACCGTACCGACTGTCATTATGGTGGACGTATTGAATACGAACAACGCGTGGAAAGTCTTATATGTGATGAGAATCATAGTCCACATAGCGCACTTTCACCTGCTTTTGGTTCCACATAAAGTCTGTGATATACAGTGAACGGACTTCATAAGCTGTTAGAAGAATCAATGCTATAACATATAGCAACTCCCGCAAGGCTTTGTTGCTATTTCAAACCTTTCGACCCTGACTGCCGCGTTAACAATATCAATCGTTTAAAACTCGTAGTGCGGGGAGTTTGAGCTGAACTATTTTGGGTTGCGCCACGGGGAAGACATACGAGGAGTTATGGTGATCACATGTAGATCGTTGTCTTTCTGTCGAGTCGAGATGCTGTCTGGTACTGTTGTAACATAGGCACCGGGAACTGAGTGATCACCAAATTGCGGTCCTTGCTGGGGGCGCGGGGGGCGGTGGAGGCGATCACCAGTTGACAGAACTCTACAACAAGGCACGTGGAACTCGCCACCGAGGGTAAAGCGCACAGTCCCATATTTAATCACCCTCCTTTGTACATAGTCCCCCCGACCTTCAGTTCTGACAACCCACTGGGCGCTCCCCTCTGTGGACTTACGAAGACCACGTAAGAACATCAGCACATCCGTGCTCCATATAAGGTGGTCGCGCCCCACGGCCATTACAGTGCTTACAGAAAGTTCGAGAACGATGACTCAGCATCGACGCCGGTGCCTCTGCGTCTCTATCCGTTTTGTCTTGCTGTTGCCTTCATCTCATTCGGTCGCTTGTCTTTCTTTCCATGCTTCTCATTCCGATCTCATCGTTTAGCTTCAATTAGTCGATTAATATTGAACCGAACTTATCATTACTCTCGAGTATAATTGCTTGATCTTAGCCATTTGTCGCATTAGACGACATGATCTATTGCTGCATAATTAATATGTGAGACCGCATCGTAAATGTGTATGTATTGTTTGATATTATTATTGTAATATTTCTGTTTATAGGTTGTTCGTATAACTGGAGATCATCAACAATCCTTTGAATTAATAAGTTGTTTATTGGATAAATCAATAATTGAATCACCTGTCCGAAGAAGAACGGACAGCAATCTCCTAATGACCCCCGTGGTGTTTGAAGGCGAGAAACGGGCCAAAACCACTATAATTGTGGTGCATTGGCTGGGAATCGAACGCGGGTCACCCGCGTGGAAGGCGAGCATTCTACCACTGAACCACCATTTATTTCACCGGAATGCACAAGTACCGCATACAAACGGTACGTGTAGTCCTCGCCGTTATTTTCCACAAACTCCTTCAGACACAGCTTGTCCTGGAAGGCAAATTTATCGTTAATTTTCACGTTAGCGCCCAGAGTGGCATTGTACTGGAAACGCATCAGTTGCAGATGAAGAACCGGAGAGAACGAAACGAAGTTCACACCCTTCTCAACCGGTTTCATACCGTAGTCACCAGCGTCATATTTATTCTCACCGTCTAAGCGCTCGACTTGGACGTACTCTTAGAAAGATTGCATGATATCACTTGAAGATCTTGTGAAGATCTAATAGATCCAGATAATGGTTGCATCAAAAATGATACTATACGATTGGCAGTCCACGTTTCAGCGGAAGCTCCTGAAGGTGCACAGTGGAACAGTTAAAAACGTGCCGGTTTTAATGGATTGGTCAATCAAGGTGCCACATGTTATATGAATTCTGTTCTGCAAACCTTATTTTTCACTGCGAAACTAAAGAAGGCAGTTTATGACATGCCAGTACCGCAGGAAAATTTTGCACCGATGTTGTCTTAGCTATGCAACGGTATTCTATTACTTGCAGCATTCAGACAATTCCGTGGATACGAAGAAGCCCACTAAATTATTTGGATGGAACAGTGCAGAAGCCTCTATGCAGCATGATGTGTAGGAGCTGTGCCGAGTACTTCTTGATAATCTTTAGAATAAAATGAGGGCTTCGGTTGAGAATACGATACCGAGTTTGTTTTGTGGGGTATATGGTGCCTTCTGGCTTATAAAAGTCATCGGGATCATCCTCCTCGGTCACGATCTCACTTTCAAATCGCGGCAAATACACGGATTCCTTACGCTCAGCGCCTTCGTGATGGCACGAAAGGCTACATTCATGGTGATATCTGGTGAGGCGTAATCACCATCCTCTTCCGGCATCGTATACCTGACCATGTTCACCTCAAACATGAATAATTAACCAACCACGCAATAGATAGAAAATAGAACGCATACTGAAGTTGAAAAAAATCATCAGACGGAACAGTTACAGAAGCAGAGGTACGACTATTAAATAGACGTGTCATCAAAAGACCGATCAACCTGCTCATCCCTTTGGAGTTGGATGAGACGAGTCAGCTACTCTCAGATGCAACTAAGGTAGGCACTTCAAATCGAAAGTCAGTAGATACCAAGAGCAATCATTAACACATTACAACCTCCGACCATGAAATAACTCGCACAAACCTAATGAGCTAAGTAAACAGACAGCTTAGCAGCAATTCAGCGACTTGGAAAAAGAGTAGGTTCTCCACACTAGCGGCAACGAGAAACAAGGCATAGACGAGACAACTGTTTAAGCTCGAGCCTACAGAATGAGTGAAATGTGGGTTAGAGTCCCATTTGAGCCAAGGTTTTTGCACACCACTCTTTATCATTGGGTAGCACCACTCTTTATCATTGGGTAAATTATAACAATTTATCACTGCTAAAAGAGGTGGAATAGTATGAATTCTAGTTGATTATCTCATTATTATTTTCGTTTAGGTTTTTTACTTCCTTATAGTGATAATGAAGAAGGAGAAAAACTGCTAAATGTGAAATTTTCCAGGATACCCATAAATACTCGTTTCTCCTCGATGGCAAAGAAAATTTCACATTATGAGGTGAACATGGACGATACACACTACGGCTCCGAATGTGATCCTTATGTAAGTGCCTTGTTTTCATGTTGTGCATAACGCTACGATCTATTGTGACTGTAGTAAACATTTGTATTAAGACCACACGCTAGGAAAAAAATAATAAGATGGATATGATGAAGAAGCTGGAAGCTTACTTTTCGGATACAGGGAGGAATATAGCTCAAAGACCTGGTATGCCAAATATAATATATAGGAAGTAGATATTTTATGAACAGTAAGTTCGGATGATTTTATTAAATGTCAATTCAGGGACACAAAAGCCTTCGCCAAAGTTAGCTACTAGCCGAACTTCAAGTGCGTCATCCACACTAATCAGAAATAGAGGAAAATCACCGAAAAAAGCAGGCGCAGTAAAGGAAACCTCTACTGAGAAGCAGAAGTCACTTGCCAATTCTTCTGAAATTCTTCTGAAAACAAAGGAATGGAAGCTTTATCTAAGCTGAAATGAATGCTTATTCAGTTTGTTGTATTTTTTTGTGAAATCAATGTTGGTGAGCACAGACAAGTTGCTACATAATATTATAGGTTACTATGGGTTTTATTGAATAAAATCACTTATAGCTATCACAAAATGAGCAGGAGTTGCTAGAACGATAGGCATTAAACAAAAATTCAGTGAAGTTTGCCACATTAAGACATTTTCTAAATTTAAACGCGAATAATTTTGCAGTGAAAAAAGAGAAGGTATCGGAATTGAAGAAGTAAGTTCAAGATTTACATGATTTGAGGGATTGTTCCTACGATTAATCGATGAAGTGTTATCTTGAAAAAGTGAACAAAACAAGCACTTATAACAAGCTGCCAGAAACAAATCTACACAAAGAACTATCTCATATTTAATGATCAAAAATTACATATTGCTGTCATACCACCCATTATGTGCCATTTTATCTCTGCATACCAATATTCCACAATTATAATTCTCGACTCATCTGCTGTAAAAATACCTGATAATTGTTTTTTGAACCATTGATGTGGTCTGGTTTGATTTATGAGTGCATGTACAACCCAATACACGTGTCTCGGCCTTGGTAGCCTCGCTAGTTGGAGAGGCCTTTCGCCATTAACTCATCCTCTTGGAGGGAACTCAACATCTTGAATAGAGTAGGCGGAGACGTACATTGCAACTGGGTGAAAATATCCATGAATGAACAGTGTTATAAACTCGATTGCTGTTGGCTGGTATCATCAAATAAATCATAACTTTCGTTTCGAGTGTCTTCCTTACTTCTGCGCGTACTCCATATAATGAGTTGGGTTCCCCCAGAGAGAAATGACTAAAGGCGAAAGGGCTGCCCAACTGACAAGGTTTTAAGGTCGAAACACGTGAGTTGGGCAGCACGAGTGCCAATAATAGACTACACGCATGGCTTAAAAACAAGTAATAATCAGGCATATTGAAACTTGAGCGCGGTCTCAAGAAAATACTCGAAACGAAGGTATGATTGCAAATTATCTTCCAATTTTATTAGATCTTCTCATTTCTGTCGCTAGAGCGATGACGACGTATCTCAACTCTCCGTTCAAATCAGTCTACGCCATAGGCTATGTTCCGCACCTTTCGGGACCGGGCCGGGCCGATTCAGTGAGGTTTGCTGTTAGCCGGACAGACGATCAACGTCAAGTGCTATTTTGAGCATCTGGACCGCTGCAGTCTAACCCTGTCAGGTCAATATCGCCTGTATCTCATCATGCTAAGACAATGTAAAGCTGCACACCGCCAAACTGACAAAGAGAAGTTGATTGAACGGTGCTGGTAGCTGCTGAATCATCCGCCGTAAAGTCCTGACTTGCTGCCGTCTGACTATCGCCCCTGGAGCACTTCTTGAGCAAGAAGAAGTTCCAAGACATCAATCAATTGCATCAAGGATTGACAACTCTATTCAAAACCGATGATGCCGACTTCTATAGCGAGATACCGATTTGTTGCCTGACAGATGGCAAAAATGTATTCGATCTGATGACGCATACTTTGGATAGTGTTTAGTAATATTAATTGCTTCTGTTCAATAAATTTGTTAATTGCTGTATTGCCAGAACTTATGACAAGACCTAATAAATGAGAATCTAAAGGTATTAGAATGAAACCAAAAATTGCAATTATTCGCTTTTTGTTCTCATATACATATCATCTCATGTCATTCTATGGTTCTAAAGGGCCCTTTTTATCCTCTTCCTCTCCATAAGGTGATCAAGTTCTGGACAACGTGATTTTCCATGAAACACCATTGGGGTGTTAACCGAGTGGGATATAAAGTACAAAGGGATTTTTATAGACTAAGAAAGCTACGACCAGGTTTAGGTGAAACAATGCTCAAGACGTATAGAATACGCGGTAGATACCTGCTGGTTCACAGATGAGCTAGTCCATTCTTACTATTACGATCAGCTATGTACACAAGATATCAGATTGACAATGGATGAAGGGCATCTACAACGGTAGAAAACGCTCATCGTGAACATTCATTCAAAAGCTGAATGCATCTGTAAAGGTATTTATAATAGTTATGCTTTCATTTCATATCAAGCCATTAAGTCTCCCATCCTTTCGCGATAAGGAAATTGGTGATAGTGGAATCAAATGAGACCACTCCCATCGATTTACATTGTAACGTCGTAGTTAGGCCATCTTAATACTCGAAAGAGAATTGCACCATTAGCATTTACCAGCATCTATAACAAGGACAAAGATCTTAAAGTAGTAGTCGAATTCACATGCCCACTTAACACTGAGTTCAACAAACGTTGCCCACGTGATAGTGAGCCAACTATGGAAGGAGCTCAACATCTCCGTAAGAAATCTCATCTTTGCGATGACCGGTAAGGTATTCCCTAATTTATTTTTGTCAACTTAATGATGTTGTGGCTATCTATAATATTTTCCTAACTATAGCATTTTGAGAATCGTTTTTATTTCGATGTTATCATCCGTAAACGCGAAGGTTTCATAGAATGAGATTAAGCATTGAAGCAATTGTTATTTTCCAAAAATGCCCTCCTCCGCATAACACCGGCGAATCTAATATTGAATCGGAACGAAAATTATGACTGCCAAGTGCCCTATACAGGAAATCTCATATCATGATCGCCCAATGTTGACATAATTTTGTTCGTCGACGTTTCTAGCTCTTTAAACAAGATCATCGAGCGACCTTGCTAAAAAAAAAAAGCCATCCTCAAACGACATATGCATCACGAAGGAGCAAAACACATGTATATCTTTCCTCCTTGTCGTCGCCTTTACGTTTTATGTGAAAACGCCAAGAGTCGATCATCAACCGTTACTTTACCGT